TCAAGAACCATTGAATACAATAGAACAAGCAGAGTCAATTTTATATGTAAACAATATAGGTTACATCTTCGGTAAATACATTTTTAACACATATTGTGTAGGAACAACCTGTAGTTAGTGTACACACACACACATGGAATTATAACATATTGAATTACTTTGATATTAGTAAGGATTTTTTTTTCGCAGCGTGAAAGCTTAATTCTGAACATATATTGTTCTTACATTAATTGTTCTTGCAATTGCACCTTATAAATAAAAAAAAATATCCTCGATAGCATACTCAAGCTCTGTATATGAATAGGTTTTAGGATATATTAGTGATTTTGGTTTGCTGATACTTGTACTCCTTTCTCTTAAAAGTTTACCCTCCTGACCTAACATGTAGCAAATATCATAAGCATTTCAGTAAATTTTGTTGAAAATTATCCTGGAGATTAATGAAGTTTCTGCATAATAAATCTTCTAGCTCCAATATCATTACATGTCAAATTAGACCAAATCATATGTTTCTTCTTACCCGTGACTTGTCTCTAAGGTTACACCACAGGTTTTGGTGTACCAGCGATCAAAATTGAGCAGTTGATCCCTAATAGACAATGATGCCGGTACAGTGCAGTCTTTCAAGTATTTTTGAAATCGAGGAACACTAATTTATGGTATCGCTTTGCAAACAGCACTTGTAAAACACGATACGACAATTAAGCCTGAAACTATTATTTCGATGTTTCGCAACATATCATTAAATACTCCGTCATTAGATACCAAAATCCTCATTATTTCTTTCCAAAGTATAATTGTGAATGTTTCACAACAGGTTGGTAAAATGAGAGATTCTGCTATCATGTGTGCCATTAATTTTAATACTACTAACTCAAAAATTTTATACGAAGCAAGAGGGGAGATCTTTTATAATCACTTAATTGCTTTATTATCTCAAGTTGAATTCGTTGTTTTTCTTGTGTTTCCAAAAGCCTTTTGAAGAACGTTTTGACGAAATATTTTTCTTTTTGTTTTGTTGAAAAATTAAGGTTTGATTTGTCACCGTGTAATAATTCAGTTACTGTCTTTGCTCAAAGCAAAGATAATCGAACAATCTGTATTTCCGGTCGAAATAAATTCATTAATTATACTTTTGACTAAAAAACATTGATATTTCAAGATTATTTCACAGCTTTTATACTTTCTGCATCACTTATAGTTGTACTCTTTGGTTACCAATTCTAAAATCACCATTGATAGAAAGACAAGAGTACTTTATGATCAATTTATCTATTGCTTGGACTACTACTAAAAGTCGATATTTTATGTGCCCTAGTTTACACACCATTTCCTATAAGACTTTGAAACTTATTTGTTTTAACAAGCGATAATTTTAATTATGCACGATATTATTTACAAAATTTAACTTGTCGAATTCAAGTACAAAACAGCCATAACTACTATATTCATCTTCTTCAATGGCTCGACATCCCTGGGTGGGCCCTGGCCTTCTCCAGAAGTTTTCTCCAGGCACTTCTACTTTTGGCTACTGTTTTCCAGTTCCTTACCTTTAAAATATTTAGGTCTTTTACGACACAGTCAATCCATCTTAAAGGGGTTTGCCCCGAGGTCTATTTTTCATGAACTTTGCCAGAAAGGTTTTCTTGCAGCAACGATTTTCATTCATTCTAACCAGATGACCAGCCCATTTAAGTCTCTGTAATTTGACAAATTTTACAATATCAGGCTGTTTGTAAATTTTGTAGAGTTCTAAGTTAGATCTTTTTTTCCATGATCCATTGAAGTACTATGTTACTTTACAAAATTATCTTGTACACTCTCCGTATCCAAAAAAAAAAAATATAGGTACCAGCCATAGATATTGTGTTTTTCTGATTTATCTGGTCTATTTTTTTAAAAAGAAAAACTCCTTTCCATACCATAATTACTGTTAATATACTCCATATCTTGATAAATTTTGTAAACTGCTGTAATAGTTAAAAAACCACTAAATTATAATATTATAATGGAGTTATTAATGAAAGTAATTTCTTTAATAGATTTACAAAGACGTTTATTTTATTGACAAACTTTTGGCCAAAATTAAGCTAAATATCAATTCATTCAGCTTCAATCAATATTCGTACTTGCTTGAAAAAACAACAGCACCATAGTCAATATGCTGGATAGAAGTCAACGTTGCAAAGAAAATATAAATATATTTCGTGAAAAAATGATAATTGTGAGTGAGATTAAGGCGTGATGTTGTGGAGATAAATAACCCAGGTAAGGTTATTTTTTAGAGATTAAAATATACTAAAATATTTTTCAATAGAAAAATTGTATTTAAAGATAAAATTTTGATTAGATATTTTTCCCTCCACTATGAAACTTGAAGAAAAGATCATAGCAATTTTTATGGTTTTGTTAGCTTTTTTTGCATTTTCGAAAACCAGGTATAAATTTGCAGTGTAAATAAAAAAAGAATACAACCTAACAGGTCCATCAAATAGTTAAAGTACTATTTTAAAAAATGTACCATTTTTTATACATGCTTGAAGATTTATTAAATACAAAAGCTTAATGATAAGATGTACATGTACTTAAGATAATTTTTTTAAAAATAGTTTTTATTTTGTAAAACCATAAGAATTCATCTGTATTATTATGATTTTAGGCATGTGAATTACAAACTTTAATACAAAAAAGTATATTTGACGCATAGTTTTCCTTCTAAAGAGATGAAATAAGAAAATCTAAGTGATAAACCTTAATTTTTAGTATTTGATAGTTTTCCAGCAACATTCTTAGTTATAATTAAACTTTAAAGATGTATACCTAGTAGTAGCTGAATATACTTCTTACACACCAGTGAAAGTAATTCATATAATGTTAATTTGCTAAAGTTTTCAGCAAAATTCTTTGTTAAATGTCAATAATGTACTCATAAAGGGCAAAGGACGTCAAATATCAAATTGAATTTATTTAATTTTTGTTTTCTTTTGAAAATGACGCAAATAATAAATTTATCACTGCAAAATATTTGTAATAATCCATTTCAATTAGTTTAATTTATCGAGATAAATATAAAAAGATAGCGAATAATTCTAATAGGTTGTTGGTAATTAACTATTGATCTCAAATCGTGAAAATAATATGTTTACTCCAACCTAGCTTGATTATACCTCTTTCGGTTGAGTTTCGTAAATGCCATTAAAAAGTTCACTGGAAAATACTTTTCTTTTTTCTCAAGTCATTTATTACACGTTTTCATAGTTGTAATGCAGACTTTCCTTCATCACATAAAAATATTTAAAATTTTACGTATTAAAAAGTATATTATTTTTCATCTTATGCATTTCGCAATTAAAGATCAAAAATATAAATTTGAAATTTTTTTCAAGAAATTATTGATTGATTTAAATATAAATTTATATTTAGCGAGAATATGTGTTGTGCTTTACCTAAGCCAGAAAATGCATTCACGCTTCTATTTTTAGATGTTATTAATTTTATAATTATTTTTTATTGATAAATTTAAGATAAAAAGTACCATGATGATATTCATGTAGAATTTTGTTGTTGTTTCTAATGCCCCCTGTCTGACGGTGTCAAATCGAGAATCGTGAAACTCATCGCAGCAAAGAGCTGGACCATAAGTACCCAACCTGTTTTGAACTGGTTCCCCCTTATCTAATGAATATTTTCTTACCTCCCCCCCTTTTCACTCCAAAGAAATAAGAGTGTACATAATACATGGTGAAAGCAAGAATTAAATTTTTAAAAAAATATTCTATTACTAATAGAAGATAGTTTTTTTAATTGAGTTATTATTATTTTTTTTTTCTAAAAAAAAATAAAAACTTTCAATTTTTATTTTTTACGTGTTAAATCTGAAATAGCTATTGCCACGAATATACAATTTTAATTCATGCAATCAGCATAAGGTAATCAGTATTAAAGTTTATTTTTGTTAGTACATAATCAGTATTGAAAGTTTGAGAAGCACTGCACTAAACACAGAATGATGCGTTATTCCAAAGTTGAAAGTCTTCACAGGAAATGATGTGGAAGTACGTGGTGGGGAAATATGGAGAGTGGGGAGATACAGCTCAAGTATCATTTCATCACATGTATGTGGTTGAAAATTACGAAATAAATCGCCAACAGCTTTTGCTTTGCTTTTAACAGCTACTTCAACAAAACAGACAAAACGATAATTTTCTTTTTGAAATTTAATTGCTGTTACTGTAATTCAATTGAATTTAAAATTATTTAAAAAGCATCCCCGATTTTGATCAAAGGAAAGGTTTCCATGATGAAGAAGAAGATACTGTTTAACAATTATATAACTTTTCATTTTGTATGTGTTGTATTTATTAAAGTTAATTTATTTCAGTTAATTTTTAATTCAGTTTTTTTTTCATTGCTTTTAATTGTAAGGAGGATGTAGTTTCAATCAAAAATATGAATATGTTTCAATGAATTATCGGGTAAAAAAGAAATCTGAATGACTTCCATGTATTCTTTCTTTTTTTCCTCATAAAAATAATAAATAAAACTTGACTGTAAGGTAATGGATAGTTATTTAAATCCAATCCACCTATAATTAAAAAAGTATTTACCGTAAAATCCGTCGTATATCGCGCACTTTTTACACAAAAAATAAGAGAGATATTGACGGGTGTGGGTTATATGCCAGGTATGAAAATAAGAACTTTAAAAATAACAAGCAATATAAGAAAATAAATTTATAAAGTCAATTCCTACTTAAGTCAACAAGAATTTTTTATTTTAGTTACTTTTTATTAAATAATTACGATTAATGTAAATATGTATATGTATATAATAGAATCACACTATTATAATTGGCAGAATAGAAAGCGATTTTCCATTTACCTTTCTATATAGGTGTTGAACTATTATTTTTGTTTGTGTTACTGTTTATTCATTAATTAAATTTAATTATTCTAATAACATAGTATAATAATAAGAAATCACATTCTCAGAAATTATGCCATCCCAGGTAGGATTCTCACCCACGAACTTTGGATTAGAAGTCCAACGCGCTATCCATTGCGCTACAGGGACACAACGAGCAATTTCCCTTTTTAAATATCGGGTTGGACTATTATTTTTGTCTTTTTTTTTATTCATTAATAAAATTAATGAATTAAAATTTGAAAAAACTGTATTAATATCAAGTGACATTCACTATAAGTTTAAAAAAAATGTATTTGAACTTGAGTGGATGAATAAAAAGTATTTTATTAACGATTGAAAATTTGAACAAGATATATATATATATTAGATTTATGCATGGATCGAAATACTGTTTATTTAACAGAAATGACATACCTTATCAATTTATAGGGATTTAAATCAAGACGTATACTACTTTTTTCGAAAGGTAAGAATAATACCCCAAATAAGTGGCTTCAAAGCATATGAGTACTGCATATGATCAGCTTTTCTCAAACTATGGAACCTATCCCCTTAGGAGATCATGATAACCTAAAAGGGGAGCGCAAGCATATTGAAAAGTCGGAAAAGAATTACTTAAAAATACTATTAATTTATTGAAAGGAAGCAAAATGAAATACTTTTTGACATAACAAGAAATAAATAACGCATTTACACGGATGTAATATATCTATAAATGCATTAGTACTGCACAATGTATTTAATAGTTAATTTAACAATACCAAGTTAAGAAATAGTTTAACAATTACCAGCGACCCTATGGGCTTGCCTTATATAAAATTATATACAAAATTTATAATACTATTTTGTTAGTTTCAGCGGTTTATAATTATAGCCATATTGTAGCCTTACATCATAGTACATTATTATTACACTATATATATAGTTATTGTACGGAAGGGGGGCGCAATGAAAATTATGATTGAAAACTGGGTCGCAATAAGTGAAAGTTTGAGAAGCACTAGCATATGTACATTTCAGATTTCTTCATAAAAAAAAGGGGGGTGCACGTTATAAAGCGCATATACCTAAAAACTAAAAAATGCAGCTTGAAAGTATAGGCGCGCGTTATAAGTCGGATTTTGCGGTAATTACTTTTTAAAGGTAGTCATCTGTTAGAAGTGACGAAACAATTACGTGAGCAAAGGATCTCTGGTCAATTCCGGCGACCACTCCTCGTCGATTGAGGAAGCGGAGTGGACACAAAAGGCAATTAAGAGACCGCTTCAGTTTCCGAATGAATACCTCAGCCTTCTTAATGAGGAAACGTTTCCCAACTTGGAAGCCAAATTACTCGCCCTGACAGCACGCCAGCGATGAAGTCTGTCGTATATGATAATGCCACACAGACTCCTTATCGAGGTGCTCTATACCAGAGCAGATAAAACGGTTGAAACGTATCGGTGGGGCACAATATGCTAATTCTGGTCGAACTGCGTGGTATTAAACGCTTGTTATCTCTGTGAGGACAGGCAGACAACTTTCTCATTGTCCGGTATCAAGCTTGGATTGAAATAAATGGGGAATAGAGTAATGTGCTTCAGACAAAATTCGAATAAATCATTCTCATAGAAGGGAATTGTTGGAAGTTTTAGTGCTGGCTGCGAGATAAATTTACTGAAGGATGATTCAAACGGTAGAATTGAACCTTTTGTTACAATGTGCTTTCATTGTGATAATTATTAACAAGTAATTTATAAAATAATTTCAAGTCATTTCCTACTTAGATTAACAAAGAAAAACTTTATTTCGTTACTTTTTATTAAATGGTTACAATTAATATAAATATGTATATACATAGGACAGAATCACAATGTTAATTGACAAAACAGAAAGCGATATGCCTTGTACTTTTCCCTTTTACTTTCTGAATAAGGTGTTGGACTATTATTTTTTGTTTGTTCCCACTTATTTATGCATTAAATTTAATTATTTTCATAAAATAGTATAGTAAAAAAAGAAGTTACATTCTCGGAAATCAGGCCATCCCAGGTGGGATTCGAGCCCACGCTCTTTGGAATAGAAATCCGACGCGCTATTCGTTGCGCTACAGATACACAATGAACAATTTTCCTTTCTATATATGCTGCTAGACTATTATTTTTGTTTGTGATGAATTAATGAATTACTATTTGAAAAAACTGTTTTCATATCAAGTGTCATCCACTAGAATTTTTGAAAAATGTATTTAAACTAGAATGGATGCATAGAAAATATATATATATATATTTTGATTGACACCCTCTCTCCAAACTACCAAAACATGACATTGGGATGATTATGAGACTGGAAAGATTTAACGTGCACCTGCCACTCTACATCGAAAGTCTTGAGTGAGAGTAGGTCTCGAACTTGTGACACGCAGGCTCTGAAATCGTGACCATAACCACTAAGCTACTAAGGCCACTAATTCTTCTCAATGTAACATTTACTGTATGTTATGTTGTATATCTTACAAAACTCTTAAATTTAAGTGCATGAAAAAATAAATTATTTTCATTTACTTATAAGTATTAGGATTCAAAAGCTCCCAGACTGAATCTATAACTTAAAAAATACTATTAATTAAACTGCTAAACAGATCCTTCTTCGAAATAAGACTCTTGAATAACAACGCACCTATGCCACGGCTTGTAAGGGTAATCGAAACATTGGAATCCATTTTTAACCACATGCTTTAATTCAGCCTGCTATGTACTTTTAACTTCATCTGCAGATAAACTTCATTTAACATGCGGGGAACAATATGCTGAAGCACCCTATCCATGTTAAGATCCTTTGGCGGTATTCATTGGCATGTGGACTAGGATATACCACCTGACTCTGCTATTGTTAGAAAACTTTCTTTACCACCGCAGAAACCTTTTCGATGTTTTCAGCTCTGTGAGAAGTCTGCAGACGTCCCGAGCGTTCACCATCTTCGACACTTTCCTGCCTCTCTGAAATGTCGATGCCACTCAAAATCTTGCATTCGCGCTAGTGTATCACAGCTTTACCCCTGCTTCAAAATTTCGCGAGTCTCCGTAGCACTTTTCCCCAAACGAACAAAAATATTAATATCCATTATCCGCTCAACGAACGCAGTTTCCTTCAATCGCCGACGTCTAAGTACACCCGTTTGCATAATACGACTCTTTGACGACCACCTACCACGAAATTGGAACAAAGCTTTTTTTTAGAAAAGGGGAAGAATGCAATAACACAGAAATGTTATTGTAGTCGCTATACTGCAAAAATTTTTCACGTTATATGTTCAGTTCGGGAACTTTTAAATCCTACATGTATCCCTTGCACTTATGCATCTTTATAAATTTTACATTTTGAAGGCAATTACTGTATTTTTTTTATGCATTCTTATTATATATAATTAATATTTTATTATTATGTCTAACTGAATTTTTTCAATAAATATTATACAAATAGTTATGATACTAATTTAACTCCGACTATAAAAAAACGTGATTGAAAGTATTGATCCAAATTTTAATAAAATATATATTGACATACTTTAAGATATACTTTTACGCATGAGGAATTTTTTTAAAAGGTTATATCGTATTACAAATAATCGTTTTAAAAATAATTAAAAAAATCTATGCAATAAAATTTATTAAGTGGGAGTATATTTTTATTATATACTTTATAAAATTAATATAATTTTTACATTTTAAAAATAAAGTTCATTGAATATGTTTCACATCGGTAAAAAAACTTACAGTATGCCTTTATAAATTTCAATTATAACTTTTTTTTATCGAAGTTTTTGTAAAAACTATTCATCAGAATTTCAAAAGAATTGAAACAGGAAAAAAAGAAAATTTTTAATAGAAGATTGGAAGCATAGTGCTATATTTATAAAGAATCATATAGAATTGAGAAACTTTAATAATTTCTTATGAAAACTCTTGCGCATAATACTTAGCCTTTGTCAGAAGCTGAATGCAATAAATTCATTGAAAAAACTTATATCTAGACTTTTTATTATTTTTTTCACATTTATGTATTACAGTAAATTTTTCACAAAGCAAAACTTAAATTCATTGAAATGGGAGTTTGCTGAAGGACGAAAATATACTATCATTATTATACTAATAATAATTTTCAAATACTCGTACTAAAAAGGAAATTGAAAATGTTTCAGAAAAAGTGAGTAAATAATAATAATAAAAAAATGCTTGAAATATTTTGATTATTATAACTTCACACCGACTTCAATGAAACTTTGCAAGAAGATTCTTAAAAAAAGCTATAAATATAAACATTTCTTTTGTGTGCAGAGTATTGCATACATTATTTGCACAAAGGTGTTTGCTTATAGATGCATGAAAGATGACTTTTAGAATATTCCTTTCTTTATCGCATTTTTAGTAATGCTCTTCCTTTCCCCCTCCCCTTTTCGTTCTTACCTTTATTCGATTGCAGTGTTTCAGGAGCAATCCCAATTCCCGAGATGCATTTGGGAAAAAATCCAGTAGACTATAGAATTTCAAATAAAAATAATAAAAATAGAGGAAATAGACCCAAAATAAAAATTAATTTTCCTTCCGTTTCTAGGGGAACGTGTCCTAAAAGCACTTTAGAGTTTGTGAGGCTACATATCTAATCTAAGATAGACACGAATTTCAAATTATATCCGTAAAACGTTGTACAAATCTTTGTTGCTGAAAAAACGGAAAAAAATTATGCTGAAAAAAGAACTATTACTGAAACTAAATTCTTTTGTCATATTATATATAGTTAAGAAATATTTTCATCGTAACTAACAAAAACCTGAATCGTGTAATTATAAATAGACTGCAATTTTAATACTCTAACACACTGTGAGCCCCCTCCTAGAGGAAGGACCCCAAAAAACCAGAATTAATTATTTTTATTTTGAATTTTATTGAACTCTACATTAATCCCCTTCAAAGTATTGTCCATGCACGTTAGTGCATTTGTCCCAACACTTTGACCACTGTTAAAAACATTTCTGGAATACTTGAGGCAGGATGCTGCTCAAAACGCGTAAACGTGTTTTCTTTGAGTTCGTCCACATCACTGAATCGCTTTCCTTTCAGACTTTTCTCCATCCGGAAAAATATCCGATGGAGATAGATCGGATGAGT